ACGAACCATCTGGATTACCGAGAAGATAATAGATGGCTTTCCCAACACCCTAGTTACACGTCCACTTATACCGCGCAGACCCCTTTGAGACAATCCCTGCCACAATGCTACCAGGCAGGCGAGCGCCCGCCTACGTGCTTAGCATTGCGGTTATGAGAACAGGCGGCAAAGGGTAAAGACCGCATGACGATTGCACTTTGAATGGCAGACTCTTGGCTTATCAAAAAACGTACACCTCAAGGCCCGAAGACTATAAATTAGAACGTAGTCTACCAGGTCGACCCGATAGGCCGAACGTCCCGACTGACAGTTGACATCCGCACCTCTGCCGACTGAAACGGAACCCCGCCGCCCCGCACCATAAGACAGGGTGCGAACGCACCAATACAAACCAGAGCACCGCACGAAATAAAGGTCAACGCCAAACGCTGACCTGATCAGCCAGCGCTTTCCAGAGACTGGACGAGGTACAATAGGATCTCAAGGAGTGAGCACTTGGATGCGTCATCGCAGAATACCATAACGTGGGTGCCCGGTGAGAGCCGCAAAGGCATAAAGCAAATCCACTGAAAACCAGTGACCAAGCAATGTAAAATAATTCCACGTCACCAGCTCCTTAGAACCTAACACAAATATAAAAGGACGCACTGTGCCTGCACCGTACTATGCCGACCTCAAAGGCAATCTTGATTTCCCGCCACGTCTGCGATTGGCATGACCTCGCCGCTCGGCGGCAGGGGACAGGCAGCGTGCCGCTTGCTGACGTGGCTCTCCAGGTGATGTTTGTGGACGAAACGGTACTTGCAGTGCTGGCACTCGAACTTGCGTTCCACGCCGCACTCCAGCCGGAGGTGGCGCGACAGGTTGGACTTCCAGCGGAACTGGCGGCCGCACTGGCCGCAGGCGAACCCAGGCAGGACCAGGCCGGCGCCGCCCGGCCGATCCGAGCGCCGCGCCGCGGTCGTCGTCGGAACTACCAGCCAACCTGAAACCAACGGCCGCTGTTCTCATGCCCGACAATACACTCAGCCATCCATACTCAAGTATCAACGGCATTGCTCCAGTGACGTCACAAGGCTCTGGACCAGCCGCTCGAGGTGTAGTCTGCTGTGAAAAGGCCGTCGTCAACCGTCGCAACGCAGATGGCCACCCATCACGCAATGCACAGAACTGGTCCATTTCCGGCGTTCGGCCCGGTGGCCAGCCCTGCCCGAGGAGTGGGTGGACATTTTAGAGATCACTGCAGCGCTGGACACAGCCCACAGCGCTAAGCAACAAACTGCTACCACAACTGCAGAACACACGCCGCCGCTGCCAGGCCGGGACTGGTGCCGCCTGGCTCTGAAAGCGCGACGATTGCCGGCATGGCGTGCTGCGCCATCTTGACGTCATGGCCATCCCTTTCGATACCTTGTAAGTGCTCGACACCCCGGCTTTGTGCCGGTGTCGGCGTAATGGAGCGGCCGTCATGGCAGCATGCGGCCTTCCTGTCATGCTAAGCAACGGGGCTTTTCTTTTTCAGCAATGATGGTTGATTATAACAACTACAAAAGAGTTTCATCAGCACTTCAATGCTTTTAGGAGGAAAGATTAACGGACGAAACGTAAAATACTGAAATAAGCCGGAAAGGAGGTTGTTTTCCACAGGGCAGCACTACTTACGGAAAGCATCACAGATGTCATTTCAACAGCCCTTCTGATCAACGTCCTTACTCCACTCGACACGAGGACCGTGCTACTCTCTGCTTATTTACGTGACTAAAAAATTAGCACAAGGCTTTTATCAGCGCTTATGCATAAAACGCACACGAGTAAACCAAAACATACCGATAAAGATTGGCAACCAAGGGCAGATCATTCACCGAGTGTTAACCGGCCTTGACAGGAAGAATGCGCAACATTTCGCGTCTACTTCACTTACTTGAAAACTGTACAGGCCTTTTGTAGGCGCGTGCCGTGTCCAGCATGCGCATAACGTAGACCGAAAACAGCCATCGATGCAATTATCGGCTTGGAGTCGAAGTAAGTCAGAGTAATCAGTCGCATCAGCTGAAGGGGTAGAACCGGTCAAGCCTCCGGCGATCAGCCGAGCCCTAAATGATCATCTGCCACCGGGACGAGCAGCCGCGCCATGGACGAACCACATCACCGGGACGTCAAGAGGTCGCCCAGGTTGCCGCTGTGCCGGATCGGCCCAGTGGATTGATCCAGACGGCAGGTGGTGCTGCCACACTCCCGGCAGGAGTACGCCCAGGCTCTCCTGAGTCGTGAGAACGGTAGAGTTGGCTAGGCAGCACTGGCCACACACCAACCGCAGCTTCACACCCTAGCAAAAAGACGGCGCTTGTAGTCCTGCCGCCGGTAGCTTCTGGGGCTCGCCCCTAGGTGGCGCTGGCAGTACCAATGCGACCGCACCGATCCCGAGGCAGCACCCGTGCTGTTGGAACACGGCGCCAGCTACAGCTTCACCGCCGCCATCCGAGCCGCCAGATGGCGTTGGTGGCCACCGTGCCGTGCCCACCGCCGTCAGCACACGCCGTCAGCACACGCCGGCGGCGTCGGCGGGAGACGGCAAAGCCCAGAAAACACCGGCCTCGGTCGATGTCGTATATTGCTTTCAGCTCGTCACTAAATCACGCGACGCACGCGCACGAGTTAGCCCACCACCACTGCATAGGAAGACGGGCATCCGGCAGTTCCGAGTCCGTGAGCGGGCGAAATTTGATGAGGTGACGAAATTCGATTCCGTATGGAAATATGCCAGCACTGAGCACAACAGCCTTACCACTAACTTCCCAGTCACGCGACATGTGAACCATGATGAGGTGGGTAGAGGACACCAACCCCCAAAGCGTATTGTAGAAACGACCGCCGATCATCTCCAGGCGCGCGGAAGGTGGGCCGAAGCGATTACCCCACTACCAAACAGCGGCACGCAGACAGATGTCATGCAGGCACCGAACGGCGCCCTCGTCGCCCCCCCCCCCCCCCCCCCCCCCCTCTGCCCCGCCCTGAAGTCAGCCAGGCCCGCGCTCGCCCAGCGAAGCAGCTGTCGGCGAGTTCGCGGCGTATCTACATGGAGTCTGGCCAGCGAGGTACCCATCAACCACTCATATCTCACCTCCCACGCATGATTTTGATTTTCATGGCCAACAAAACACAATATCAACAGCCTCGTCACCTAACGGACACCGGGAGCACTCCCACACAGTACAGAAAAAACGACCCCGTTTTCTCCACCCCTTCCGGCTAACAGCCGACGCGTATTATGCACTTCACACAACGGCACTTGGTCCTGAGTATGTTCCTGAGTAGAGATTTTGATTGGTCACGATGACAACGTGGCACCAAGCCCTGATTTACACAACACACAAACATAGCATAGTAAAATGGCATACCCGCTCTGCTGCCCCGCAGCTTGGCGCCCTCTCCGTGCCCGCGCCGCCGCACAGGCGTCTCCTGTCCCCACGAACATGCCCGGCGGTCGGTCACGAGCTCCATAAAACACCTCACGATCAAAGCGGTGGTGAAAGGCCGATCCGAAGTCAGTGGACGTGATCAAGACCAGCGACGAACAGAGGCTTCCGGCCTGCTATCACGAGAGGCCGCGCGGACCGTGACCAGCTCTACTGACCGAGCAACCGCGGTCGTGCTGGAAAACGGGTCACGACGCCGAGCCATGGTGCCGGGTGGGCCACGCCTGGCCGATGTTGGCTGCCTGGTTTCTCAGTGCTGAGAAGCATGGCAGGTGTTTGTACTTCTGTCGCATGGCCCACTGCCGCCCTCCAACCGGCTGGCCCGGCAGGCGCCGCCTTCTGCGTCAGTGATCACACCCGACGCACCGGCGACGACCCGGTCTCTGAATATCGCTCACGTCTTCAGAGAACACAAAATACATGACAGACTAGGAACGTTCGGGTAGCGAAAGCTCGGAAGACTACATGCTTTCTAAGCAGACTGGAAAAATCGTTAATAATGTCCACGGAAGTCACAATTCTCGGCGCGCGGGCCCTGACAAAATGCCTGAGGAATGTCTGCCGCCCCGGCGCCAGGCCAGAGGTCGGCGACTGCGCCAGCACGCGGCCTCGGTCGGAGCTCGTGTGCGGGCCATGGTGGCACGCTGGGGCGGTCGGCGCCGCCACGGTCAGCAGACCGCCACAGTCGGACGCCGGGCGGGGTGCGCAACAGAAGCGATCATCTGTCGCTGGACAGAGCTGTGCGCGACAGCGAGCGGCGGCGGTGAGTCGGCACTGGGGAGTGGCCGCAGACACAGAGGAAGGCCCACACCGGAGGCACGTCTGGTGGACAGTGCGGCCCGACCCGGGGCGAAGGAGGAGCTGACAGCCGGTGTCGCTCCTCGTTGCGACAGCTGGTGTGCGGAGGAGATAGCCTCCACCTCAGCAGTGGCTGTGCTCCGCCTGGGTGGTGGCCGTGTTCCATCTCAGCAGTAGCCGTGCTCCGTCTGAGCTGCGGCCGCGTTCCGTCTGAGCTGTGGCCGTGCTCCACGTCAGCAGTGGCCGTGCTCCACCTCAGCAGTGGCCATGCTCCGTCTCAGCTGCGGCTGTGCTCCATCTGAGCTGTGACCGTGCTCCGCCTGAGCTATGGCCGCGCTCCGCCTGAGCTGTGGCCGCGCTCCGCCTGAGCTATGGCCGCGCTCCGCCTGAGCTGTGGTCGTGCTCCGCCTGAGCGCGCCGACCTGAGACGCGGCCAGAGCGCCGCGAATCACATCAGATAGTCCTTGATCAGCTCGGGGTTCTCCGACTTGTGCGTGGACACCACGTGGATCTTGACCGAGTGCCGGTGCTGGAACTTCTTCTTGCAGACGGGGCACTGGAACTGCGGCTCGACGCCGCACTCGTACTTGACGTGCCGCTTCAAGTTGCCGCTCGAGGCGTACTGGCGGCCGCACTTTTCGCACGCGTACTGCCTGCTCGGCGAGGTGGGCGACTCGCGCCGCAGCAGCAGCGGCAGGCCCAGCGAGCCGGACGACGGCGGCGGCGGCGGCGGCGGCGGTGCACGCGCCAGAAGCTGGTCGTAGCGCTGCTGCTGCAGCAGACGCTGGAAGCGCACGTTGAACGCTCGGTGCAGGAAAGCATCTGCAACACCCGAAAAGCACAAACGTAAGCGGAACGAAAGCGGCAACGTAAAACGATCGTAGAATACGACGGGTCGACAAATAAACGAGAACGAGCGCAGTTGATGACCACCGCTGTTGTCTAGTGGTCGGAAAAACGGTTGCAGCAGATGCACAAGGCTAGCAAAAACTACAAACACATTCGTCGAGCAAAACTCGCTAAATCGCAAGCAAGAGTGCAAATATCCAGAAGAGAGCTCTCTGCTCGCTCAGACGTCTGATACAGGAGAGTTCTAGCAGGCGGGGGTCGCGACTGCGTGCAGCAGTCCTTCCGCTTGCTGCCGGCGGGGAGCTCGTGCGGCGGACACCGCAGAGGCTGCTGCAAGGCTCACGGGCACGCTGACGAGCTACTCAGGCAGCGGGCGGGGCAGACGCACCGCCGGCAGACCCTGCATGCTGACAGGCAAACATGCGGCATGCGGGCGTGCGGGCGTGCGGGCGTGCGGGCATGCAGAAGGCGCAGGCGGCGGTCTGCAGGGTCCGGCAGTAAGCGGGGGAGGAAGGCAGGGGCGGGGCGCCACGCGCACAGGCTGCACCTTCGACTGCTGCACCAGAGAGCGCGATCGCGCGTGCGCCTCTTCAGCGGCCGCCCGGCCGTCTCTCGCCACCACGTCTTCGCCTCGGGAGCCAGGCCGCTGGCCACACGCCTCTCCGGCAGTCTGTCCGCCTCTGTCTGTCCATCTCTCAGTCCGTCTCCCACCGCCACCGCCGCCGCCGCCGCCCCGTCGCGCCGGCGCTGGCGGTGCCGCGCCGCGCGTCGACGCCATCAACTGTGGTGCACGCGCACGTGCGTCCGCATGTTGTGCTTGTGTTTGAACTTCATCAGGCAGACGGGACAGGCGAACTGCGGCGGTTGGCCGCACTCGTAGCGCCGATGCCGGTTCAACGACGACGTGGTGGCGTAGGCGCGGCCACACCGCTCACAGTGCACGGTCGGCGGCGAGCCGGGCCCCGCCAGCAGCGGCAGGCGCGGCCCGCGGCCGCCGGCCGCCGCTACCCGCGGGTGGAACAAGTCCAGCAATTCGAAAGACGGACAGTTGGGACCTGCAACGACACACACACATAGGTGGTGAGGGCGGGCGGGCAGGCCGCGCGGCCGCCGCCGCCCCGCCCAAGGGCCGGGCGCGTGCTACCCCCGGCCCGGCCCAGTCCGGCCGCCCGGTTAGTGAGTGCTGGTGCGCGCGGCTGGAGCCCGGCCGACCCGCCGCCCGCCGTTACCGTGCACCCGCGCCCGCCCGCGCAGTACGCCCAGGGTGAGTGCGGCCAGGCGAGTGAGTTACAGCCCGGCGCCGCAGGGCAGCAGCAGCCCCGCCACCGTCACCATCTCCACCGACTGACACCGGTCCACAGTCAGAGTCTCCGCACGCGTCTCCGGACGGCACCGGCAACCGAGGCCAAGCGGCCGAAACGGTCCAGTTCGAAGTCAACGGCCGATTGTGGCCCCGGGCAGTGAACTTTACACGACGGGCTACCACAAACTCTCAGTTACAAAGGTGGAGGGGAGGGGGGGGGGGGGCGAGGCGCACCACGAGCCGCCGCTCAAAGGCTGAGGGTTGGAACGGCGCCATACACCCGGGTTCCGAGTCAGGGAGGATGGACAGCCAGACAGCAGGGGACGGGCACGGCCAGGAGGCAGCTCCCGCACGCAGCGCCCGGCAGGAGCGCGGCGCCCGCTCGTCCCGCAGCAGAGCTCAGCGGGCGGGAGGCCGAGCGCCCTCCGACCGGCAGCTGGAGGCGTGTGACCCGGCTCAGCTCGGGGCCAGCGGAGGCGAGGTGTGGCGCCGTGTCGTGACAGGACAGTGCGTGGTGTCGGGGTGCGCGTGAGGCCGCGCGCCGGCGGCCGGGACGCTACCTGGGGCTCCGCCGGCCTCCGTCGACGGGACGAACGGGCCCTCAGCGCCGTCGCCGCTGCCGCCCAGCGACCAGTTCATAAAGCCTGCAACAGGGAGGGACTCGGTCAGCCGGTGCGGACACCCGCTCACCCAGAGCACCGGCGCATCCGCTGACACTGGGCTGCCCTCAGGCCGTGGTAGCAGCCTCATCAGTCCCGCGTGGTAGCAGCCTTATCAGTCCCGCACAATGACGGCGTGCGAGTCTCGCAAATCTCTTGGCAACTGCAAACAGAGCCCACGGTGCATGCAGGTTGACATGTATGACAGATGATAACCACATGCAGGAGAGCGCCATCCACACCGTAGTAGGCGACAAACAACGATTTCCGTCAGCATCCGCCGACGTGCTGACCTATCTGTATCCCCTGCACCTAGCAGCAATCAAGGACGACCACGAATAAGTTAACTGCTGACATGTGGTATGCGACGTGTTGTACCTAAACCCGGAATGTGGATCCGGGACTGTCCATACCCCATGCAGCGGGAGGTGGGGGGGGACAGAGGGGACAGAGTGGCCGGCCCAGACCACTGCCGGCACCCACCTGCCCCTCACACTCCAGTGTGTGCATGAGATTAGTGGGGCCGGCCGGCGGCGCTGAGTCGGCCCCATCCCCCCCCCCCCCCGCGGCCGGCTCCGGCGCGGCGGCCCAGGGGAGGGGAGAGGCGGCCATTGTGGACGGCGGCGGCGGCGGCGGCGGCCGGGCCGGGCCGGGCCGGCTCGCTCCCCTACCAGCGGCGCGACGCATCGCATTACCGGCCCGCCCGCACAATGGCGAGGGCCGCGTGGCTGCCGACGGCGCGCCGGGCCTGCGGACGGCGTCCCGCCGCCCGACCGACTGCAGCTTCACGAATGTACGCTAGACTCACGGGGCAGCAAACAGAGACGCAACTGCTCAACCGGTCAGTCCACCACTTTTGCACGGCAAGAGTCCCCCGGATTTTGGCCGGATTGTAGGCCAGACGTAGTAAGCTTTTGCAGATTTTAACAAGCCAAATAATGCAATTTCGCTAGTCAATGGTGATTTCAAATCCCTCCAAAAATCACAATACACTTGTGAAAAAAAACATCTTTCAACATTTCTAACGAGGGCCCTGGTTAGTGGCAGACAAACCGATAGACTTGATGTTGTGGGGGTGGGTTGTGATTAAATATCATTGATTCATACACCAATCATATCTCAAAATCAATTCAAATTATTCATGAAATAAGCGAGGAACCGTGGTTCTTTCAATGCCTCACCCTCGCTCACTCGTCAATACGGACCTCAGTTACTGGTGCATTCCATGTGGAACAGTTTTCGAAACCTGCACAGTGGCAATGCAGCGTTTGACAAAGGCTGCGTGTTTTCTTTTAAACAAAAACATACAATTCATGATCAAGACAAGAGGGGCTCCTACGAACAACACCTTTCACCCTTTCTGCACGTATCATTAATTTCCAGCGTAAACGTCTCATAAAAACTGTGTCCTGTTTCCTTGTGTCATCTCTTCCCACGTGTATCTGTACACGGGTCTGTGTCAAAATCAGTTATACGTAACGTCAATCAAACATTCGATAGAATTCCACAAGTTGCAATCAGCAGGCTATGCGAAGTATGAACTGTGTATGAAGTATGAACTAAGTATGTAATGAACTGAAGCCTTGACACGCTTTGCTGCGCACACCCAGACAGCCAGCGTGCTAACCGTCACCCTTTCCACAATTAACGAACATTTCCGAAAATATACTGCAATGTACAGGACACCAGCAAACTTCACGTCTGTTTCGCGTGTCTTGCCGGGCGGCGGGCGCTGCGCTGCAGCCGGCGGTCACCGGCGCGAGCGGGGCGGGCCTGGTCGGCGCGACGGCGGCGCACACGCGTCCGTGTGAACGGCCGCGCCGCCGCCGCCGCCGCCGCCGCTCCCGGCTGCCAGTCACCAAGGTCAGGCAGCTCCCAGAGTTCAACATACTGCGCCGGTGGCAGTGCCGCGCCCAGCCAGCAGAGTCAGAAGCCAGCACAGACAGAACGCCGCCCAGCTAGCGCAGGCAGTACGTTGCCCAGCCAGCCTAGTCAGCACGCAGCCCAGCCAGCATTTAGTACGCAGCCCAGCCAGCCCAGTCAGCACGCAGCCCAGCCAGCAGTCAGTACGCAGCCCAGCCAGCAAGCCGGCAGTCAGCCAGTACGTCGCCCAGCCAGCACAGTCAGCAGTCAGCCAGAACGCCGCCCAGCCAGCACAGTCAGTGCGCCGCCCAGCCAGCGAATAATATCGTGCCGCCTCACGCGGGATGGTAGCGAGTCAGGCGTTCTCAGACCGGCCCATTCGCCGCGAAATGTCTGATGACGCGTGGAATCAGACGCCGGTGAAAGAACGCCTGTTTAACTGCTTTGAATAGTATGACAGAAAACCGCAGTCTGTTGAGAAAATACCAACAATCTTAGCCAGGATGGAACAGAAGAACGCCCAATGTCGCTGGCAGGAACATATTCCCACACTGAGCGACGGGGGAACACGATAAACGTCAACGTAACACTCCAACGGCAGCACTCCAGGCTGTTGTCACTAACACAACACTGGACATTGAGCCAACTAAAAAAATCGTGGAGCCTGATCGATAGGGCCAAATTCATTTCCATTAATAACAAGACCTGCTCGCCAGGATATGTATAATGACCAGCAATGATTTGGGCGGGAGCTAGCTTTCAGGCCAGCAATTGGCCTGGGCTGATCTCCGCGACCTGGCTATCTCTATTAAAAACGCAAATTTGCTTCAGCTGCCCACATACATACTGGAACGTTCGTAGGAATCGAACTAAAGCAGCTGTCTCCGCCAATCGGTGTCCCATCCCGTCGGCAGGCTCTCGGGTGGACAGTAAGCTTAAACACTATCATCCCCGCATGCCAACTTCTCAGCCTCCACTAATAGGTCGGCACACGAGAAACGTCCCGGAACGTCACTGAAGTCATGGAGGTCCAACTAAACACGCGTGGCATTGGTGACTACGGCCAGTCCAGATGGGGAGCACGGGGTCATACCCCACCCCTCCCATCAGCAGCACGCGTAGTGAGCACAAATGTTTCGTTGTGTTTCGCAACCGTAGTTCTTGTCACGAAAGTGACGGAGATGTAAACGGAGAACGTGTCACGCGCGAACACGTCCAGCAAAGATTTCACGTGACGTCACGCACCATGGAACATTCTTGACGCGTCACGAATAAACATCACGTACTAACATCACATCACATCTTAAGCAATATGTGACTACTCCAAGACCAAATCATGCGATACATATTGACACCAATTATTTAAGAGCGCTTGCATTTTGCGTCTAAGAAGACATCACCGAAATCTGGGGGGAGCGTGGCTGGATTTCGTCCCGCCCGTTTCTTTCAAAATTCCTTTGCTCGCTCGGATTCCTCGCGAACTCATGGTGTACGTGCAAGAGCCCTGCCTTCAATACCGTCATTTTCAGGTTCAGACGCCATGCCTTCAAATGCCATTCAATAATTTGGATTCAATAATTTGGTGCAAGAGCCCTGCCTTCAATACGGTCATTTTCAGGTTCAGACGCCATGCCTTCAAATGCCATTCAATAATTTGGACACTTTGAAGACACGCACGACAAAGTGAAAAAGCATGTGTAAAACATCTGAATTTCGCATGATGTTCAGTCATGGCAATACAAACGCCTTTACCATCCCGAACCGAGCAAATACCTGACTGCCGAGCAGCTCCGAATGTGACACTGCGTATACTCTGGTGAAAAAGGCCCAAATATGTGAGAAGCGCGCTCCAGCGTGACAACAAATACCATGGGTGGGCGGACTTCATTACTTTCATTAACATATCGGCGTACCGTCGACGCTGGGCTAGGACGAGAAGGACGCATCGTAATGCTGATTGCCAGTGCCCAAAGAAACACCATTTTATACCAGGGCAGCACGAGCCACACGTAATCGAACACCGATCCTAGACGGTCGGTGTGTATTATTCGCGTGGACGGGTCCTTTCATCAAAGATGGGATGCAAGAACGCCGGGAAGACACTTCCATCGATGTAATCCACGACATCCTGGCAGTGAAGTGCTATTCGCCCGTCGCTTGATACTGTATAGCTATAATGGCGCAGTCGAGTGGGTAGTTGTAATGACAGCGAGACGTAGCCAATATCTCAAAGCATTGGCAGCTCACTGCCGCTTGGTGCCCAATATCCTGTTGCCAAGTTCAGACGATCATGCTCACGTGACGCGCGCGATTATCGACAGCAGCCATGACCACGTCCTTATCTGATATTGACGCGAAGCACACGTGTCAGACATTCATCATGTCCCATATTACGCGGGGCCCGACGTTCGGTCAGTTCTCGTTAGGGATATGACGGCATAGATAGATGATATCGTGCTCGACCCCAGAGGACAACACGTTGTGCTTCCTGACGCAGCTTTAACCTTAATCATGGGCATATTATCCGTGCAGCGGTTGGCATGTATGACGTCATAGGCACCATAAAGGAAACATTTATAGAACGTATTCTATCTATTCTATTTTATTTATTCACTTTTTCTATTTGTTCTCATCGGCTCAGTCATATTAAATCAGCGCACCGCTGAGATGAAAGGGCGGATAACCTACTCCTACTTGCAAAACCTTCACTCGCATATATGAATCGCTCGAAGCGACCACCAATCACCGATTCACGCCAAGACGAGACCGAAGCTGTCCAATTTTCTGATGACTGGACCAGGACATTGCAAGACCAGGATATTGCAAGACCAGTATAGGATACTCCAAGACCAGGACATTCGTGCTGTGACCCAGCCAAGAGCTGAAAAGCCGTCCATTGACTATGCCGCATAACGTTTGAAGGCAGATGACCCACATCCAAGTGTGTGGGGGGGGGGAGGGGAGGCAGCAGCATGTGTACTAAAATGGGGAGTCAATGAGTTGACGAAGTGACAGTCTCAGCCCACAGTACACGCGTGGACAACAGCTCATGAAGCTGCTACGGAGAAAAGAAAGTACCGGCGGTCAACGTGGTGTTTAACCCGTAGTAGAGACACATGAATGGTACACACTAGTGCAGCATTTTTTAACCTTTTTTTTGGGGGGGGGGGCGCATCCTGACCATCAACTGGTACTGTTATCAGAACAATAACGGCTTGCATAATCTCCACGAAACCAGTACCAAGCCTTTGGCGAAGGAAACTTCCAATCCCAAAAATAGAATAAATAAGCCGGGACCGCCAAGCATTGGTCGCTCAGCATTTTGTACAGCTCGTAAAGCCATAATACGATAAAACTTGCTATTTCAGCTATACAAGTTGCTTTGGACATCAGCAACCAGCATTGCGCTAATGAGTCATCACCACAGTCGAAACGACTCTCGCACTGGACACAACGTTGGCCAATACCGCTTGTTCCACGATATCCCGCTGCTATGCTCAGATATTCATGTCGACGCATGTTGACGTGACACAAACAATTACCGACGGTGCGCAGCCAAATTCGAGGTACTAGCCATCGCTGAAATGACATAGCACCAGTTGATCTAAGTGTATGCCATTTGAAGGAAACGTCCGCCTACAATGAGTATCCAGCAAGTGAGGATAGTACGCGCGTTTCCACCTCGTCTAATAATTAATTTTGGTACCATTTACAAGCATTTCATTCTTCCATATCCTTTTTTGCGACAAATTTGCGCTAACATCAGCACATCATTCGGAAGGGGGTTGAAAAGGTCGTTCTTCGTTCAAAAATGGATCAGTTGTGTATCTGCCAAGGCCATCTACATAATTTTGGCACCGTGCACAAACCAATGTTTTAGTGTACCTCGCGTCCCGCAGCTCCAACGCACCGACAGACACCCCGGGGTCAGGCGGGCGCCACTCACCGTGTGGGACGAGCGACTGGTCGAGGCCGGGCGGTGGCGGCTGCGGTGGCGGCTGCGGCTGTGGCTGTGGCGGTGGCAGCGGCGGCGGCGGCGGCTGCCCGGAGGCGCCCTGCCACTCCGCCTCGCTGCCGTCGCTGACGCGGCCGTCGTCGTCATCACAACTCGGCGACTCCCGCTTGACGCTGACGTCGGCCGGCGCCGGCGCCGGCGGCGACGGCGAGCGGTCAGGCGGCGGCAGGGCCGTGATGGTAGCCGGGATGCGCGGCAGACCGGCCGACGGCGAGCTGGCCGGCCGCGGCGGCTCCGGGCGGCTCTGGCTGGCGCCGCTCGCCTCACTGTCGGCAGACGGCCGGCGCGGCCGCTTGGCCGGCGGCGAGGCGCGGCCGTTCAGCCGCTCGGGCCGCGCGCTGCCGGCCGGCGCGTCCCGTGCGGAGTGCGGACTCTCCGACCGCCTGGGCACCGGCGCGTACTGTGTCTGGAGCGGCGGTGGTGGCGGCGGCGGCGGCGGCGGAAGAGGCGGCGGTGTCGCCGGCGCAGCGTTAGGCCCCCGCCGATCACCGCTGTCCGCCAGACCCTTGATCTTCAGCGATTCGGCAGTTTGGATCAACGACGACAGCTGATCTTGGCACACATTAACTTCACCCTGGTACATGTAGTCAACAAGAGCTCTTAGTTCGTTGTGAGGCACATCCTTGAGAATGATGACTGGGTGGGCCTCATGATGTGTGGCGAAGATGGACTGAAATAAAGGTGAGCAACATCAACATATTGTACCTAAAACTATATTCAACCACTCATGTTATTATACAGGTGTGTGACTTCATGCACAGTTGCCACTTTTGCATTCATTCTGTTATCAGGGTTTTACAAAGCTCTCTGCTGCTGCGGTGATATGACATCACCTGCCCCTGACCCTGCATGAAGGTTGACCATCAAATCCAATATCTCTGGTTTCCTCAGTGTGAAACAGACTTTGCAAAGGAGATTCAGAAGGAGGTAAGAGATGCATGCAGCTTGACCTGATTTACCTAAGAAGTTCACAAAGCCAAGGTGTCAACCCTTGGGAAGGAGAGTGTAAACCTACTGCAGGGGTCATGATGGTATATTCCTGGATTCGCTGCCTCTGCCAACCCATTAAATGAATGCAACAGCAAATAAATGGCCTCAAACATAATGAACAGATTTAAATGAGCTTACCCTGAAGTACTGGCTGCAAGCAGAGAGGACCACCTTGTGGGCCCTGACTGGCTGGCCCTCAGCATACAGTGTGACATCCACCAGGCTCTCATCTTTGAGTAGAGAGCCAAACACATTGATAAGTGTTGTCTGGTGGTGGTTCCACCGGAGACAAAACTGCTGATCTGTCATCCCAGACCTGAAAAAGATGCACATGGAGATGTTGGAAAAATATGGACCTTGAAAGATGATTACATGGAGTAAATCATTGGAGAAGAGCAGCAGTGTGCACCACAGCTGACTCATTACAAACAGGTGTCACGCTTAAGATGACATTTCATTAAAAAACAATTGGGATCAAATTAATTTTTAAGTCATCAACATGTTGATACTTACACTACCTAACACTTTGCCTGTCTCAGGCCAGGTTTCCACAGAGACACAGACACAGAACATGACACAGAACAATACCACAAGACATGGCTACCAAATACCTGTCTAGCATGTAACATTGAAGATATCACAATATTGAAGGAAAAGGAAAACAAAACCCATAACCTCATACCCCAACAGCAAAAAATATCTGAAATTCAAATTTCCCCATTCTCACTGTAACAACTGGCAATAGTACGAGTTACTTACACATAAATTTTATCACTCCATTTCAAAACAATGGCTTTGACTGGAAGCCCTAAACTATGGTAGAAAATATAGGTCCATTGGAAACTTGGTGGCATGTAAAACCACTCACTAACAGATCACATTCCACAGTGGTGTCATGGTTGGTGGCAGCTAGTCAAAACAGTCTCTGTCAGCTGGTTTTAACCAGTTTTATTTTTCTGGTTGAGACCAGCAAATTTAAGCCAAGTAATATTACCAACTTTGGGCTGTCTGGCTGCCTGATAAGCTTTGATCAATCAATCAGGCAATGTATTTCTGACTTAAACATGCCAATATTGGAAGGTAACACCAAGCTAGGGCAAAAGCAGCAGCTGTTGCTTATCACTTTGCCCAACCCAAGGCAAACATCTGACAAACAAGAACAGAAAAACAAGGAAAATAACAAGCTTCTTAATTTTGTAGCATAGAAATGATGTGAACTGTAATGCCATAGTTGTAATAAACATCAATTAATGATGTTACTATGACATATATAATGATGCAATTCATGTAAAATCATGACTGTAACTTAATGCCACCCTGCTATCCTGATTTTTACTTGAATACTAAAATGGCCCTGCCACCATTCATTCTTGCATAAACCTTAATTACATCTATAGTGATGTTCTCCTACTGTATTGTTTTTATTCAAGTCACAAATTCTGTGATGCATGCATATATATATATATATATATATATATAGATAGATAGATAGATAGATAGATAGATAGATAGATAGATAGATAGATATAGATATATATATATATATAATATATATATTCCCCACGCACAACTGGGTAAGTTTTAGACACTGCCCTGCCACGAAGTTCAATAGTTTGGGTGCTACCAGCACTTACAATGAAAAGTTAATTTTGAAGAAATCTCTATATTTCAATACATTGCAAATATGGTCACTTAAGCAATGTTTCAAGGTGTAAAGCCCACAGCCAAGATGCAAAATAAAAGTAAACCCACCTCCCAAACCAGCATGATTCAAACACTGTTCATCCAAAGCAGTGTTTGAAGAACTCACAAATGGGAAACAGCCCAGTTTTTCCATGATTAACCAGGGCATGCTTGAGGAAACATGTGCCGACGTCAAAACGACTCAAGTTAAAGACAGCATACAAAAGGGACATTCTAAATATTGTGCAGATTAAAAGATAAAAATTACGGTTGTTTTAACCAACACAGCAGAAATTAAGGAATCTCTTCTATTAACCAGGACGCGGTTGAGTTACGCTACTTTGCAGATGCCTTTTCCGCCATTTTAAGAAGTCGACATAATCGAACCGCCCTCACTCCCAGCTCACGAAAACGCGAAAAAAGCATGGCACAAGGTGCGACACGCGTGCTAGCACTCTTCCGCTACATAAGCATTTCACCACATTCAAATGCTGCCCTCACCTCTCAAAGCTAATCGGTCAATCACCGAAGTTCCGCGCCCCAGCCCACCCCACGCAGGTCCCCTCGCTTCACTCAAGGCCGCATGTACGCTTCTGCGGTGACACCCTCCCTCCCCTTCATTGCTGTGGGTGAGCTCTGATTGGCTTTCGGTGTGACTATCTCAAATGGTCAAAGGGAATTTTGTTAGGGAGGACAACGGCTAGCATTCTAGAGATATTTTTGAACATAAATGTCTCTAAAAGAAATGAACAGTACGGTATTTTTCCGGCCGAATATATACGAATACACCTTATATAAGACAATTTCACTGCAGGTAAAAGTGTGCTGCAAGGCCACCGAAGTACAGAAGTTGTTTTCCTTCCCTCCCACACCCTACTGCTGAACACACAGAATTGGTACACAAAATAATTACGCATGTCGAGCACGGAAGTGACATGGGTGGTACCTCGGGTACCGGACACCCCTAAGTAAAACGAGGCGGGACCGGAGGGAGTCAGTGCTTCGTAAAATAAACAACGTGAGTTGATCTTGAACGACACTTTCGGCTCCCGGGGCATACGCCATCTCCAGAGGCGAGAATAACACCCAAACAAGAACGTGGTAACCGAAAGGGGGGGGGGGGGGCAGTGGGGGCAGCCGCCCTCGCCGGCCTGAAAGCTGTGTGGGGCGGGGGGATGCATGCAAAAAAACACCCCGGCCTGCCGAGGGCTCATTCCTCATTCATTCTAATTATTGTGCTTCTTGATCTAAAGAGATCAATTCTGAGCCCGAACAGGACCCATTCTGACATGTAGATATCCGTTCTGGCCTGAAGAGGCACATTCTGGTCTGTAGATGGCCGTTAGTGGCTGGCGGGTCCGTTCTGGCCTGTAGAGGGCCGGTTGCACCTTTGGAGGGGTCATTCTGGCCTTGAGAAGGTCCATTCTGCCCTGCAGATGGCCCATTATGGCATGTAGAAGGTCCAGTATTTATCGTCAATAGTTTAACTCAATCCTGACCTTTGGGTGGCCTATTCTGGCCTGAAGCGACCCGCTATCTAATCGTTGGGGGTCCATTCCGGCATTTTGGAGTTCACCCAACTTAAACATAGTTCCCGCACCCCTGCAATCAAATCCCCTTGGCTACATCGCCGTCGGTGGCACGTGTAACGTAATCAGCGCGGCGCTAGGTAGTGCATCATGGGGCTGGACGGGCTAGGGCCGCGTCTGCGGCCGGCCCTGGGCCTGGTGCTGCGGCCGGCCCGGGGCCTGGTGCTGCGGCTGGGCGTGAGCCTGGTGCTGCGGCCGGCCCGGGGCCTGGTGTTGCGGCCGGCCCTGGGCCTGGTGCTGCGGCCGGCCCTGGGCCTGGGGCTATGGTCGCAAACACTGCTTAACACAGGGTTGCAGTTTCCTATTCAGTTGGGGAACGTGCTCCAGCCTCCAACTTTGAGAACAAAGGGGCGTGCGCATATAGAAGCCCTCCTGCGCACGTACCCGTCCTTACCAAATTTATGCTCTGTATTGATATCTACGTGACTAAATGTTGACAACGACCAATTTCAGGGAAACACATAAGAGCTAACTCTGAACTTGTGACTCACAATCCATCATATCCTTGCCAAACCAATTTGGCGTCGTGCAATCGCATGCACAGCGTCATTTGCTTACTTGACGCCCTCCATTAAGCGTCGACAGCAATCCGATCTTCCCTCCAGCCGGCGCGGCCTGATGTTGAAACACTCTCTTAATGGAGTCGCGTTTGTTCACTTCGCATTCCACGCATGTGATCAACCGACCGTCAGAGCTGTACAGCTTGCCTTCATTTTGATCACAGGTACACAATGTGAACAGATCGGCGTGTACTTTGACATAACACGCGCCCGGGCGGCCGGTTGGATACGCTTCGGTTGGATGGGGGCCAATTTGACCCCCCACTGAGATCTCAGAAACTAAGGGAGCTAGAGACGCAGGGTGTGCTGGTGTGCACGTGAACTCACTTAGATCAGAGTTTGAGGTTCCCAGGTCATGACCTTTGGGTCAAATATGGTCAAACAAGGTCAAACCTCAGGTCGGTCTCCCAAGTGTCCCCAGAACCCAGATACCTGTTCTAAGGAAAAGGTCACGTGTTCATGAAAGCCAGTTACCTTGCTTGACCTTTTGAAGATCATGGTGATAAATCTTACAAGACTGCTTTGAGTTTTCCATTTGAATAAGCTATACAATTACACTAAGCATTATGTTCCAAAACTCAAATGTTGACCCGTGTTATTTTAGGTCAGTGGCCTATTCTGACCCTTAAGAAGTCCATGAACGATGCATAATGACGTTCCTGTTATCAATTAATTCGAAATGAGCACCAGAAACTACCCCGCACAGCAAGACCCAGAGTAATAAGACAGGTTGGTTTGACCTTGGTCTGCCCTTCCTGCCTGACCCTAGGTCAATGGAATTTCTTCATCCAATTGTTGTGTTGCCTAAGAAAGTATTTCAGAGATGTATGGCCTCGTTAGATCAGCCAATATATGGCCATGCTGACCTCGCCAACTGTCTGGCATCAGCAGATCGGCCACGTCGACCACAGGGTCACACCGCCTTCACCACGACTGAAAATTTGGCAAAACTAGCATCTCGAAAAAGACTGCTATCACGAAAAACTCGAAAAGGGGTCTGTAGCGACCTAGCGACATGGGACATCCAAACTGCGAAATCAGATAGCAATTAAACAGACTGGTCGATATCATCAGCCTTGTACAGGCCAGAGGATACATTAAACGCTATAACTCGAAACGTAACAACTGACCTGGGTTGATAAGTTCTGACACTCAATAGAAACACGAAGGGTCGTACCTGGGGCCGACGACAGCATCAATCCACCTCCACTGTTACCCACACTCTTAGCGCTGGCAAGCCCACCTGGTACATCAGTTGCCTCGTCCACTAAACGAGCCTTTTCAACAGCTTTTGGGCTCTCCCCGGGTTTCTTGGGAAGGACGGACTGATGGTACAATGCATACCATCCCCAACTATGTTCACTTTTGGGTGAAAAGGCGTGCGACAGGACGAACGGGAGGAACGCTTTCTCCTCGTCTCGTACAGTGCACACGTCAGTGCCCGCTGCAACCAGACCATACCGCAGGTCGTCCAAGTAAAGGCGCGGCCAAGGTGAATCTCCGTCATCCAGCGCGACGTCGCTCCACGCGCCGTCGAAACACCCGTCGACAACACCCGCGGAAACGCTTCCGGTGATCTCTCCGAAACACATCATATTCCTTGAGTACCAACCACACCGTGGCGATATCGTATATCACGGCGACCACGACACTTCCAACGGATTTAATTCTCACGAGGTTGTTAAAGAGAATGTTTCATATTTAAAGACATTTAAGCACATATCACATATGATGGAACAAGCGTTCTGATGGCCATTGATATACTTTTAAATGGAAAAATCTGATCTAGGCAACTCAATTATTATTTTTGTATCTATATGTCCTTCTATTTGATACGATAATACCATTATATGCCATTCTATTTAATATGTTCCTCAAAACGGCTTTGTTCGATTGCGTAATGGAACGTTTGCAACACTCTGAGATGTTAACCACGTATGCGTGCAACAGGCGTTTGTATATTTCAGTTACATACACACATGTATATGTATACACATATACATATCCTGGTTTAAACTTAATACGTAAGTTTCTGAAGTGTTTGACAGCATTCAGTGTTCAATGGTCCATCCTGGAGGTGATCAGTGACCAATCGTACCTCTCAAAGATTAGACTGGGAGTATCTTTTTTAACAGCTTTGCGGTCATCCTCTGAACCGCTTAACAGTTACAGCGATACAAAAAATACAGCTTGTATTTCTTCTCTTCCAATTCCACCACCACTTTGTGGTGCTGTCAAGGCAATCCGTTCTAATTATCAATCCAAAAATTGCGCAGGTTAAACAAACGCCCGGACTGCCTTTTAAATGTACAGTTCGATGTCTCAAAAGGGTACATTAATTTAAGGGGTGCTTCTTTCAGGTGCGTCATCATTTTTGTCCGCCTGTCGGCCACGACTTAGTGTTAGCTGCGGAACCGGCCAATGAAGACTGCACCGCCTGACACGGAGCTTTTTGTTGCTAAGGTTTACGAGCGCGTATGTTAAAAACTGCGTCACACAATTTTGCATCACTAATCAGTCCTGAATAGATGTTGGATATTTTCACCAAAACATGGCCTGACCAGGTTAATACAAATTGTTGATTTATTTCAGTCTACAGGCTACATTCTTGGGGTCCTTATTGTCTCTGTAGAAACCTGAACAAAATTATGGCAAAGCTTCTGAATTCTACCTTTTTATGAAGGTTTTCTGGACCATTGTTAAGTGAGGACCGTCGGCAATTAGTCAATGCAATCGTTTAACGCATAATTTTTCAGATTATTGACTAAAATTCAAATAGAATTCCCTCCGCCGTCATTAATGGCTTCCGTTTCAGTTACAGAAGGTAAAAATGAAAAATGGTATATAAAAGCATGCCCTCACTAACAAATGGGCCGTACTCTGCGATGTCTTTGGGGGGCCACCTTTTACCATCAGTGGGCCCTTTGTCAAGGCAGTCGTGCGTCCCCCTCGCTAAGGTTTTGACTGTGCTCCTGTTCTGGTACTGTCGCTCCAAAAAAAACACAGGTGAGATTAGATTGAAGTAGGGTGGGAATGGGGCTGAAACCTGTTGCCATAAAAAGGATTTTGGAGAAGGCAAGAGCTGTCCAATCAGCGCGCAATTTAACCAAACAGTTGTGGCGCACTGACGGGCAATAATACTGCACGTCGTAGAACTTTAAAATGTTTTCAAACTACTAACTCTGTGCAATGATATTGATTTTTTCAAAACAATTGACGCCAGGGCAATTACTTATTATTGTTTACTTCATATCCGAATATGAAACTGTGAAAATTACATGTAATGTAATTTACTTGCATCAATTTACACGCCAGGCTTTTGTTTTTGCTGTTTGACAACAAAGGAGGCCAAAAAAGCGCATGAATGAACCGCACCAATAACGTCTACCTCAGCGTTCTCCAA